CATCTTTAATACTTTTTGACAGAAGCGTTTGGGGCGCCTGAAAATTATATGAATAGTGTAAAAAGATATGGAGATCACGAATATCACAATTCCAAGCCTTAATTTCCTCCTTGTCATGGACCTCCTCCGGCCATATGGATTCTCTTTTATCTGCACAGTTCTATGGCATTTTGTTTCTTTTTCTCACAGTATATTGTCGATCTAATTGAAAGTCTCGATAATAAACGATTAGAAACAATTCAATTTACATTCAAATAGGTATGTTTTATTTTCTTAATCTATGATGCTTTAAATTGAGAAATAATTTCATTCTCGTTTTAGGTTTCATTGTATTCACAGAAGTATTCAAACGTTGTCCCAGAAGAAACTGCTCATTTGGTTATCAAAAAAAGGTGATAATGAAGTATGTATTCTAGTTTTGAATGTATTTTTCTCCATTACGTCTAGATATTTTCATTTTTGTTCAGGATTTTGATAGTGACCAAGTAAATTCTCAGAGTCAATCTAGTTCAATGTTTGTCGATGATTTTACCGGTGTTGGAATTAAAGTAAATATCAATTATTTCTTTGTATTCGCGTTCTGTTGTATGATAAAAGATGGTTTTTTTATTTTTAGGTTTCGTTTAATGGTAAAGCAAACGAAATGCGTAATATGCAACAATTATCTGGTGTTCAGAAATCTTTGGTTGCTTTGCCACTCATATTCAGTATACAAAAATGTGATTCAGCATCATTTTATCTATTTGATAAAATTGATCAAGCATTAGATCCACAATATTGAAACGCTGTTGCTGGTTAGGTTTGACACATACTGGATGCGAAAGAGAATGTTTTAAAAGTTTTCTGCTTGTTATGTATGTGGCATGGATCTGTAATAGAACTTTGATTTCGGTTAATTTGCTGTTCCTCGATCTCTTTTGCTTTTTACCAACTTGTTTTCCTCTAACTGTTTTTCTTCTTTCTCTTTTTGAGCATTGATCAATGAATTGAGTCAAAAGACACAATTTATAATAACCACATTTAGTCCCGATTTATTGAAATATGGTGATAAATTTTATGGTATAACATACCAAAACCAAGTCATATTCGATCGGTATCACAAGATGAATCTTTAGAATTCGTAGAGGATCCTGATCAAAACACACAACAAGTATAAACATGTCCGCTTTTGTACATGAAATTTTGTAGTGAGTTTAGATAGATTAGGTTTTTTATAAAAAATATCTATTATATGATGCAACCGTTTTACTGTGTGTATTTTCCTACTGTAAGTTTGTATATGATGTAAATTCAATTTATTTGTTATTCATGTGTCTCTCTGTTTGTTTTTTTCTGTGCAACTGAAAGAACACAATTAAATTATAATACTCAACCTATCAGTGATTTAGCTCAGACTAGTAAGAAATTTGTATTCATTTGAGTTTTTGATTGATCTTAAAAACTATAGGATGTTTTTGTGATACAGTGGTACTGTTTTTGTCTATAGGTTGCAGTGATAGGGGATACTATAAATGAGAAAACGCATGGACATTCTAACAATCTGTACATTTGCGTAACAAGTGTTTGTGACCCCTCATTCTGTAAGATTGCTCAAGACTGTTACAGTGTATATTGTACAAAAGGAAAAAGATAGTCCTTGTTGATATTACATAACCAACAATACATTGGCATACAAAGTTTCTCTAAAGATTTTTGATTGTCTTAAAAGCAAACGAACTGAAAGGAGAAGGTACATGTTAAAATTAGGCATGCATGTATTCATTTGTCATCGCTTATATTGGTAACGCTTGATTAACATCATGTGGTTTTTTGAGCTCCTTCTTTTTCAGATATCTACACAATATTTAGATATTTTTTCGTATTGACTGATAATCATCTTAAATGTTATAAGAGAGATATCTAATTGATTTTAGATTTGAACATCATGTTTTACACGTTGCTTCGTTACTATAATCTAATTCCACTAATGAAATTAAAACAAATATTTTATTTTCGTCAACGAAAAATGTTTTATGAACAAAAATACTATTCCGATTCGAACAAACATATGGATGAATGATTAGTTACTTGTTTTCTCCTTAAATCTAGTTAATTATTTGATTTCTTCTCTTCCAGTTACTGCGCAAGATTTTGTGGAAAACAATTATACTTCAGTCAGTAATGCTGGAGCAAAATGAGGCAGAGCAAAATTCTATTTCAGAATGATAGTAGAAACCGTAGGTTTTGTTTTCACTTCTTACGTGATGTCACACGGATGAGAATATGTCATGTGTTCAAATTTAGGGTTCACTGCAAGGTAGTGATTCGTTACGACAAGTATTACGTATATTTGTCGATCTGCATTTGGATTTGTCCATTTTTATTTCTATTACACTAATATTTATAGTGTTTATGAAGAACGAGAATTACTGATTGCGGAACAACGAACACAAAAGCGTTTCGAATTTGAAATTCAAAAATTCAAACGATGTTAGATTATGAACGATCGCGTGATACACAATTGTACTGTGATAAAATACAACATGAAGTAGAAAATTTAGAAAAAGATTTTAAAAGGTATAAAATGGTTGAGAAGAAATATAAAAAAGTATACTTTATTTTCTCTCTCATCATTGTTGTTACAATTTTATTCTATTTTTGATAATGACATGTACTTTTTCAAGATTATTGATGATTTACAAAATGAGATTGAAGAAGGAAAAGAGAAAATCGCATATCTTAAAAAGCAAAAAAGAAATAATAGAAGGATTCTCAAAAACGTGTAAATCTATCGAGTAGAGAATTTAATGAAAGTAAAAAACATTTGCAGTTAATCGAAGCCGATATTGAAAAATTAAAAATGGAACGGCATAATTATTACAGAATAGCAAAAGTAACTATGTTATTGCATATGTCGATAAATTTCGATGATAACATTAAAGACATCGTTGAATAATATTTTTTTCATTCATGCTTTGAAATATTTCTCTGGACACTATGCTTTGATCAATTTTTTTTATAATTTCTTTTTAGACGGATGAAATTACAATACCATTTCGAATTGGTTCAATGGATGAAATACCTGTGCAAGAAATAAGCTGATCCGATGATACAACAATTCGAAACGGTTCACAAAATACTCAAAATGTACATTATACTAACGGTAGTCAAAGTAATTCAACAGTAGTAGCTAGTCAAGAACAAACAAAAGAAATATATGATACAGAAGATGGTTTTTGAAGTGAATTTTAAAACATTTAAGGATGAATTTAAACATGTATATATTGTCGCTAATCAAATTAGCCTTATTCTTTTTACTTAACGAGTGATACAAAAGTTCCCGGAAAAAAGTTGAAGTCTATATCTCCATCATACGAAAGGCTACACGTCTAATTTGTCTTTTTAGTTGAAAGATCTTATCGTCATCTAAAGAAACACCGGCTGCATGTGTTTCAGATTACTTTTAAATCATTCTCTTTCACACGATATACAGAGCAGTCACATTTTTATTATCTATTCTTTTTTTTTTACTTGTATATAGTACATACTCACGTGTAACACGTGTATGTACAAGTGTGTAATACTTTTTTTAAAAATTCCTCTTTGATTATGGAGAATGTTCAACAACAAAGAACGAAAACATCATTGAGGCGGATGAGAACGGATCGGAGTAACTATGTGGAGGATGATGGTGGTGGAGAGTGGACAGTAGCAATGGGACAACACAAAAAATTTAGAAACGACGACAAGTTTGATGATGAGTGGGATAATGAGTATGTAAATGGCAATTATGAGAGTTCAAATGAAAATAGTTATTACTCAACACGTACAATTAACAATTCTTCAAATAAATATGGTAATAATCAACAGGATCAGCAACGTAATAATCATTCTTATAGTAAGAATAATCATTCATCTTCACAGCAGCAAACACTAAAGACAAATAGTAATGTGATGAGTCAATCGATGAATCAGACAAACGAAAGAACAACGAATGATCAAATACATATTTCAAGTCATGCACTAAGTTATGCAGTTGAAAGTCATCTACCATCTTTTAAAATAGAATGTGATCCGAAACTGCAACAACAACAAGATGGTACAGTTTTAGTTAAAGAATTGTTTAAGTTAATTGAGAATGATTTTCGTAAAAGTAATAAAGATTACAAGAAACCTTTGGGATTTGATTACTGGTATATTGATAAGCAAGGTGATCTGATATGTTTTGTTAAACAAGTAGAACTGTTTGTTTATTTTTGTGATATAGCACACTATCCTAGTAAAATAAACGATTGTGAGATTAAACCACTTTTACCAAAAAAGTTGCCACCTCAATATTCAATAATAATTAAGTTTGTTAATAACAATCTATCTGTACAAGATATTAAAGAGGAGTTAACTATAAGTTACTCATCGATTTATATGATTGAAGAATTGAATGGAACCAAGTCTAATAAAAATAGACATGTACGTGTAGATGTGAAATCAAAGGAAGATTATGATAAGATAATGAATGGGAGTGTTGTTATAATACATGGTCAATGTTTTAATGTTAACGAATTTCTACAAGCACCAAAATTACTTTTATGCTCTAGATGCAATGGGCCAGGACATATAAAAAAAATTTGTAAAAGTCCAATGGAAATATGTCGTCGTTGTGGTAAAAATAGACGGGATGGAGAAGATCATACTGTGTGTGTTGTTAAATGTCATCATTGTCAAGGAGAGCATATATCTACAAATTATCAGTGTCCGGTATTAGCTGATTATCGTTTTAAACTAGTTACTGAATTACAAAAACGTCCTGATTTATTACCACATGATACACAATTGTTTATTCCATCAATATGTCGATCAAAGGATTTAAAAAATAATAAAATTCTAATGAATAAATTAAATACGAATCGGACTACTGATCTACAACAACAGTTTTACAATAAAAATGATATAAATGCGTGGCCATTAATAACACATGCAGTGATCAATAATCAGTTATCACCATTAAGGAATATTATAGATATTGATAATGAATTAAAAAAAACGGAAAAAAAAATAGAACAGATAAAAATTGAATATGAATTAAAATTCAAAGAAATACAACTGAAGCAACAAGAAAACATACAGAAAATTAATTCAACATTAAATATATTGAACTTACAAATTAAAACACAAAATGAATTGATTAGGAATAATACTCAAATAATAAATCAAGTATTGCCAATAGTATATCAAACATTAGTCATCGTTAAACAAGTAGTAAATGGGGTAAATATGGGTAATAAAGAGGAAGAACAGCAGAATTTAAGTACATTATCCCAACAAATTGAACAACACTGTATGTCAGTCGAAAATCTTCAAACAGTATCAGTAAATTATCAACAACAACTTTTAGGAGTAATAGATAATCAAACAATGTTAATGTTGGAAGGTATGAGATCGATATCATCATTTAATGAATAGCAGTGTGTCCCGTTTCTCACAGAATAGTAGTGTGTTTCGTTTCTCACCGCCATTAGTGAATACTAGTCTTATCGAATCTTACTCAGGAAGTAGCAATGATAAAAACCTACTTTTTGATATTTTTTGTGAGTGGAATGCTAGGGGAAATTTGTCTGAACTATGTGACACATGGAAAATAGATAAACATGAAAATGTATGTGAAAATCTTTTGATTTTATTGTATAACGTTGAAGGTTTAAATACTCATGTTGCAGATTTGGATGTTCTTCTGTCTAGTCATGTCCCTCAGTTGTGTGTGTTGACGGGAGTAGGGGCAGCGATTCGGAAATTACCGTCTTTTCCGGGATACTATTGGGTTTCACAAAAGGGAACAAATGTATATGGAGGAGTTGCTCTGTTGATCCATAATTCATTAAAAAGTAAAGTTATAAATTGTGAAAGTAACTTTTTAATAATTGAATTGGAACTAAGTCCGCAACCAATAATAATAGGAGCAGTGTATGTACCACCAGGTACACTGCCTCCTTTTAATTTTTTTCAGCAGTATGTAAACAAAAATTTTTATATTTTTGGAGATTTTAATGCAAAACATACCCAATGGCATTGTAAAGTGAATAATATAAGTGGAAACCATTTGTTAAAATGGTTAGAAGATACAGGGTGTCTGTTAATTGCACCAAGAAAACCAACATCAAGAAAATCTGAAGCGGTGATAGATTTTTGCCTAGCTAATGATGATACAGGTTGGAATATGGAAGTATTAGACGAAGGTACATCAGACCATTTCCCTGTTCTTTTTCAATCATCCTTATCATTGTCAGAAAATGCTTCCTTTCGTAAAACTAACTGGAATGTTTTTACTTTTTTTCTGAAGTGTGTATATCAATATTTTAACTCACTAGTATATAACATTGATGAACAAGAATTCTTTTCGTTGTTCTCTAAATTTTTGTCTTCCCTATGGGAAAGATGTAGTGAATATGTATCAATAAAAAAGTATAGACCTCCATGGCCGTATGAGTTAGTGTATTTGGCAAAAACGGTAAATAAATACAGAAGAAGATATCGTAAAACACGTTGTATGACACATTTAAATAATTATCTGTTTTGGAAAGAAATATTTTTTGAAGAGAGAGCAAAATATCAGAACGACAGAAGAGAAAAACGGTTACTTTGGATGAAGACGGATAATAATATATGGCAGTACGCTAAACCTGTGTTTTACTCTGATCAACCATCAATTAGAGGCATAACAACGCCGTTTGGAAAAATAAAAGATGAAAAAGAAATAGTTAATTTGTTAGCTGACTTTTATGAAGAACATTATAAGGAACCTGAATATGATATATGTAATAAAAAACATTTAGAGTCAATAGAAATCTATAATCAGATATCATATACGCCTAATTTACCTTTGGAAAAAATAACAATTAATGAAGTAATAAAGACGTGGAAAAGTTTTAAACCAAAGAAATCAACTGATAGCTCTAATACGTCAGCATTTCTATTGAAAAAATTACCAGAGGATTACTTTAAAATTATTACAATTTTATTTAATAAGTGTGCAGAGAAAGGTTTATTTTTTGACAAAAGTAAACATGCAAAGGTGATATGTTTGTCGAAAGACGGACTCTACCCGGAGAAAAATCGATTACGTCCGATTTCTCTGTTACCGAATTTAGGTAAATGGTATGAAAAGATTATACATCAAAGAATATTAAAATGTTGCGCGGAAAACAATATTTATGTCGATGAGCAATCGGGTTTTACCCCTGGTAGACGCTTGCAAACCCGTATTATATCTCTTTGTGAAGAACTAAGACTTCAAGTAGCTGCATCTAATCGACCTGTTTTGGTAATATTTGTGGATTTTTTATCTGCTTTTGACAAAATGTGGTTTCCTGCGCTTATCGCTAATCTGCATGAATTAAATATGCCTCTTCATTTGTTACGTTGGATCTATTCTTGGCTACAAGATAGATCATTTTCGATTCACTATGGAAGTGTTACCTCAAGACAGGTTAAAATGTTTGTTGGAGCGCCTCAGGGATCAATACTTGCGGCGACTCTGTTTCGACTTCATGTACACTTTTTGCCACAGTACTTTTTTCAATTGATAACACATTTATTTGCTGATGATTTAGCTATTGTTATAGGTAGCTCTTTAGAAAAGAAATTCTCGCTTAATGTTATAGAATCAGAGGAGAGAGCAAAAATAGTGCTAAAATCACTGGAAAGATTTGCGGATGATAATATTCTTCCTGTAAATATTTCTAAAACGAAGGCACTTTTAGTACACAATGTCGTATCGCCATCATACCCTAAATTAGAATATAAAAGAAAGAAAATAGAATACGTTAAAACATATAAATATTTAGGTATTAATATCAGTACAAAAATGGGATGGGGTAATTTTATAAACGAAAGAATAAAAAAGATAAGAAAAATTTATAAGGCGCTGAGAATAATGTTTTATATAATTCCAAAAAATGAAATACAATTAAGGAGAAAACTATT